TTATTTATTTAATTAATAATTAAATTAAATTTTTATATTTTTATTAGGAACAGCAGCTTAATCACATATGATGACTGTTTTTTGAATGTAGACATTGTGAACAGCAGCCTAATGGACAAACCGGTTTACATGTATGTGTCACACGTACGATTAAAATATACATGTATGTGTCACACGTACATCTTCTGAAATCCCTTTTCGGGACTCGGTCTAGAGATCTCGGTATCGGCTGCACCAATTTTATTCGAACTGGTCGCAATCGAAAGGTACCGATGACATTATGTAATAAAAGTGTTTTTAGATTTTTGATTGGACTTTTAAATTCTGAGTAATTTTAATCTAAAGTTTGAAGATGTGAAAACTCGAGATAAAGCTAGTAGTAGCGTCGTGAATTTGACAGCGACATGAACATATACACGCATCAATCAAGTCAAGCGATCATGTCAAGCAGTCAAACGGTTACATTTTTATTTTATGCACTTGGCGTCGCGACGCTACCGCGTCGCTTGATTAAAGATTTTAATGAATCTATGGCTCGTAGCCCTATTCTCTCATTAGTTTAAATTTATTGAGCCTTATTACAATTTAAATTTTATATATGTATTTTATATTGATCTTTATACTTTTATATACTTATACTTATACCTATACTTATACCTATACTTGTACCTATACTTATATTGTACTTTTATGTATGTATTTTATATTAAGTTTTATGTATTTTATACGTTTATATTGAGTTTTATATATGTACTTTTTACGTTGAGTTTTATACCTCGCATTCATTGTATGCATGTATGCATGTATGTATGTATATATGTATGTATGGTATAATACTTTATTTCTGTGTTAATTACGAAAGGAATAAAAAATGACAACGATATTTTTATACTTTTATATATATATATTTTGACAAAAATTTCAATAAAATAAGCATGAAACCACGCACAAGATCTAGTTTGTGATAACTTATTAAAGTCAATAATTTATTGTCAACAACATAAATCTATAAACGTTTCTGTCATAACAATGTGACCATCTTCAGTATATAATTAATTACTATAAAATGAAATAAAACGCTATATCAATAATAATTCGCTTACATCAAACCGCAACGCTAATATATTTATTTCTTCCTGGCAACGTTATCCAAAAGTTTACCTTCGCTTTTGTCTTCATGGTTAAATTTCCTTCTGATTAATACAAAATATTTATTTGACGAAACATCGTTAGCAGACTGTATAATTAAAAATTAAATTAATATAATACTATGAAGAAAAGAAAAATTCGTTAAAAATGAATACAATTCAGAATTACCTATGTTCCGTTTAAAACATTCGTCAATTCTTAAGTGAAGCGTCAGAGAAAAATCGAACATTACAACAATAAAGTCAGAGATGTAATGACATAAATCTTATGTGTATATGAACTTGAAACCAATACAAATAATAAAAATCAAAACGAAGACTGAGAATTTGCGATAGAGTCTTGGTGTGTGTTTGTTATGATAGAAAAATACATTTGTGGTAATTTTTCAGTGTCGCTCTGCAAATTTAGACAGTGAATCTGATTCTTAATATGAATCATTTCAGAAATTGTTCTTTTAAAATATACGGGTTCACTGTCCAAAATTGCAGTGTTATCCCAATCTATGTCATGTTTACAATTTAATTAATGTTTGCTTACGACGGAATTATTATTAGATTTCTTCAAATCATCCCTGTGTTCCTTCAATCGAGTTCTAAGCCTTCTTTTCGTTTGTCCGACATAAGACATATCACAGTCCTTACAGTTAATCTTATAGACAACGTTAGTGTTATCAAACTTATTTAGTTTATCTTTTCCTATTTTAATGATTCCACCAAGATTATTATTAATCGGTTTGTAGGTGTTTAGACTAAATTCAATAAAAACTCAGTGCACTAATGATTTTCCGATCCTTATATCATTTTCAAAAGCGTATAAATTATCATATAGTATTTTCCCCAATATATAAATCGTCATGTGATAATCTTTGTATTTATTGTCGAGTTATCTGTATATAGTTTCAACGCTTATCTCTGTCGACAGCGGTATGTTCAAAACACGCTTATCCTCGGTACCGACGCGGTCAGAATTCGAGACATTGTCTACCTATCAGCTGTTTACTTCGCGTCACATATATGTATACACATACGCAACCTTTCCTTTTCACCACTAACTAATTTTGTGTCTATATTAATCCTGTAAAAGGATTTCTCATTCCGTTCAGTTGTTTCGGAGATTTTCATAAGACTGTAAAGTACCCACAATTTCGTAGGTCCAGCATCCCCTTAAGGTTATGTTAAATATTAAAAAGATCCAGACCGGCTCAAATTTTGATAAAAATACACTCAATTGATGCGTTTACGCGTAAAAATAAAGATTTGACAAGAAAAAAGTGTCGCTCTGCCCTGGAAATTGAGATATTAATCATTACTTTTAACGATTAATATCTCGGTTCATAGGACAAACGCTTTTTTCTTGTCAAATCTTTATTTTACGCAAAAACGCTTGGATTGAGCATATTTTTATCAAAATGCAGCATGTATGGAAGCTTGAAAAGGTTATGAATTCAATTTAGGCGCGAATATTTGCATTAGCTCTACGAGCTCGGTCTTTGAATCCAGAGTGGATTGAGGAGCTTGATTAGCTCTGGAAATGTTAATACCGAACGCAGATGAGATGACATGTAGCAGAAAGATACGAATTGCCGAACGATTTCCGAGGTGAAAGAGCAAACAGATGCCTCCGATTTGCATTGCCGAACGCACCTTTTCTTGCGAAACGAAGGTTATCTCTCTGTAACCGTGCCTATCTATCGCTTAACGACCAAGTTCAGTTGCTCTCGAATAAAGCTCAGAAGCACATGTCAACAATCTCGTTCTCAGTCTCTATTCATTGCAACACCTTCTGACTCCTCGGGATTTCGTGTACAATTCCGACTTCACCAGCGGACCTGGTTTCCAGTACCCATTTCCTCTCGCAATAAACACGACATTGCTGGTCCTTCGAGCCGGATAATTGGAGTTCGCGAATTTCGTTTTCAGAGGTGTTTAGTATATCGGTGCTTGCTGAGCCGCTCTCGCTTTAACGCGATTCTCTCGCATAAGACAAGCGCTACCCGCGGTGTTCGTGTTCTCTCACCGTTCGCGCGTGCGAGTTAGATTTGCCACGTGAACAATTAAGACAGTGACCGTTGTGAAGTGCGTCTACCTCAAGCTTTCGTCTCAGCATTCTCGAAAATGACCACTGTGACCGACGTCATTGCTCGACAGAACGATCTTTACGGGCTCATCTCTCGTTCTATCGACAATCTGAACAAACTCGGATCTGCACGGATTACTCGCGGCGCGGTCCAAAGTCGCTTAGGCGCGCTCAAGGCCAATTGGGAGAAATTCAATGCACATCATGACAACTTGGTTAAAGCGAAACATGCCGAGATAGAGCCGCTTCAATACGTTACCGAAAACGTGTACGCTCTCTGCGAAGAGAAGTTCCATGAAGCTCACGGATTTATGCTCGACATGCTGGACCAGTTTGATTGCAAAGCGCTACATGAGGCTACCGTTCACAACGCAACCAATTCTGCTACAGGAACGCACTCTCGACGATTACCGCGCATCGATTTACCGAAGTTTTCCGGTGACTACGCTCAGTGGAGGCACTTCCGAGATCTCTTCACGTCCATCGTCACGGAAAACAACGAACTCTCGGATGTCGAAAAGCTCCATTATTTAAAAATGAGTCTAACCGGTGAACCGGCGCAACAATTACAGAACATTCCCATCAATAGTGACAATTTTAAACGCTCGTGGGAACTTCTCGTGACTCGCTACGATAATAAACGAGTGTTGATCGACGCGCAATTAGCCGCATTATTCGCGATTCGCAAGGTGAAGACGGCAGGTGCAAAAGAAATAAAGAAACTTCTCGGCGACGTTAAAGAGGCGCTCGACGCCCTCGAAGCTCTCGAATGTCCAGTGAAGTCTTGGGACCACATCATCGTCTTCATGATCGTACGTAAGCTCGACGTCGAATCATTGAAGGAATGGGAAACAACTCTCGGTGCGAAATCAACGTCTCCGTCCTTCGGTGATCTAGAGCAGTTCCTAGTTGGACGCGTGCAAACTCTGGAATCTATCGAACGAGTCATAATGCCATTTAAACAACAAGCTGCAAATTCCACGTCGGTACGTTCGCAGTCAAATGCAAGAGCATACGCTGCTACCGCTGCCGTACAACAATGTGCTGTGTGTAGCTCGGGACATTATATCGCGTCGTACCCGAAATACCTCGAGAAGACTGTGAATCAACGACGCGAGGTTATCGTTGCAAAAAATTTGTGTTTTAATTGCCTCGAACCTCATCATCTCAAGGCATGTCGCACGACGAAACGCTGTCGATTCTGTCGCAAGCAACATCATTCATCGCTGCATGTGGCTCCCGTCGAATCCGACGTCTCGACGCCGTCCCCTACGACGGCAATCTCCGTCCCTTCGGCTACCAGTCCGACCACGGACATCTCTGGCGCATCTCAACCGAACGGACCGCTCGGCGATTCTCACGCGTGCAGTCACATTGCACAATCACGCATAATTAAACGCACTCCAGTGCTCCTCGCTACCGCTTTAGTTGCAGTCATCTCTCAATCTGGAGAACAATTCCAGCTACGGGCATTGCTCGATCAAGGATCTGAAGCTTCGTTTATCTCCGAGTCCGCCGCGCAGCTTCTCAAGTTATCGCGTAAACCCGCGTCCGTCCCGATTCTCGGAATCGGCGCGCATCGCTCCGATGTCTCAAACGGACGGGTCTCTATCGAAATTATCTCACGGATCAATTCGGCATTCTCTCTCAAGTTGGAAGCTCTCGTATTGCCGAAACTCACCGCATACTTGCCACCTACAAAGATTGCATCCACTCACTGGCCACATATCGACGGACTCCGCCTTGCGGACCCGAAGTTCGCAATGCCAAGAAAAATTGATTTAGTTCTCGGTGCAAGTGTCTACGCGCAAATTCTCGAAAGTGGCATTCGCCGCGGAAACGGCGAATCCCCGATCGCGCAGAAGACCGCTCTCGGATGGATATTATCCGGACAACTCTCCAACGACAACGATCCTCTCTCACAAACAGCAATCTACGGACTTCAGTGTTCTCTCGATTGTGAGCTTCTCGATCTGCTTCAAAGATTTTGGCAACAGGAAGAAATCGCGTTGTCGCCTACTGCTACGTGCACACCGGAAGAAGCTCAGTGCGAACATCACTTTACAACGACTCACTTTCGTGACGCGCACGGGCGATTCGTGGTACGTTTGCCGTTCCGAAAAAGTGTGAGTGATTTCGGTGACTCGCGTGCTCCAGCGTTCAGGATGCTGCACCGTATGGAATCACGCTTCGAAACGCACGCATCCCTCAAAACGGCATACACGGAATTCCTGCGTGAGTATCTTGAACTGGATCACATGCGCCTTTCAGACTCCCTAGACTCTTCGCGACGCGAATTCTTTCTGCCGCATCACGGTGTTATTAAAGACTCTAGCTCAACGACGAAACTCCGCGTTGTTTTTAAAGGCTCGCAAAAAACCAATCGCGGAATGTCGTTAAATGATTGTCTTCATATCGGACCAAAACTGCAAACGGAACTTACGGATATTATTATTCGTTGGCGTCGACATCGTTTCGTATTTGCAGCCGATATTGAGAAAATGTATCGCCAAATTCGCGTACATCAGGACGATTGGCCGTTACAACAAATTCTCTGGAGAAACTCACCTAATGAACATCCGCGCGAATACTTGTTGTGTACGGTGACATATGGTCTCGCATGCGCGCCATATCTCGCTCTTCGTTGCTTACAGCAACTCGCTCTCGAATCCGAAACCACGCGCGCCTTTGCTGCAGAGATCATTCGTTGCGACACATATGTCGACGACATTCTGTCAGGGGCAGATACAATAGCCACTGCAGAAGAAAAAATGCAGCAGCTCCAAGACACGCTCACGGCGGGCGGCTTTAAGTTAAAAAAGTGGATTGCAAATTCTCCGGATCTGCTCGCAAACATCTCAGCTCACGACCAAGAAGTGTCAGCGATTCTGCCGGTCGGCGATCCGGCTACGCATCACGCGCTCGGCGTTCAGTGGAATCGACTGAGTGACAGGTTCATGTTCTCCGCGCCGTCGCCTCCGCGAACAGTCGCAATCACGAAACGCGCAGTGCTCTCGTTTATCGCGCGCATCTTTGATCCTCTCGGATGGCTCGCGCCGATCATTATTACTGCGAAAATATTCATGCAGGAACTCTGGGCTATTCGTCTTGATTGGGATAGCGAACTTCCGGACGATCTCAAATCTCAATGGATCGACTTCCTCGAGCAATTTAAAAACTTGTCAGTTATCTCAATTCCGCCCTGGTTCGGTACGAGTTCGGATACTCTCGACGTGCAACTTCACGGATTTTCGGACGTCTCTCAACACGCCCTAGCGGCGACTGTTTATATTCGTGTTGTCTCACCCAGTGACACTCGCGTGACTCTCGTCAGTGCAAAGACAAAAGTGACTCCTCTCAAACGCGTGACAATACCTCGACTCGAGTTATCCGCGGCCGTGCTTCTCGTGAAATTAATTCGCAAGGTTCGCGACGTGCTCGACTTGAATCGCTCAATCTCTTATCTCTGGACCGATTCGACTGTCACGCTGGCCTGGATCAAGAGCCACCCATCAAGATGGAAGGAATTCGTGCAGCATCGGGTATCCTTCATACAAGAATTGTCAAACTCTAGTTGGCATCACATCGCAGGGAAAGAAAATCCTGCCGACTTGGCATCGCGAGGAGTATCTCCGCAACGACTACAGCAGGAGCGTCTCTGGTGGTCGGGACCTCAATGGCTCCAACAACCTTCAACTGAGTGGCCTGCCTCCACCCTCATGCCAAGTTCGGCCGCACAAGAAGAGGAGCGTGTACGAAGCTATGCGGTCGCCATAGTAGGCCCCGAACCAGAGATATGGGGTCTCGAAAAAAGATACTCCTCGCTGACCAAGCTACTCCGCATCACCGCATGGATTCGACGCGCAGTCGAACGTTTTCGCAAAGCTACCGCTGCACCCGCCGCTCAAGATCCTCTCACTCCGCTCGAATTGGACGCTGCGCTCGCTTTCTGGATCAGATTGACGCAAGTCACGTACTTTTCTTCGGAAATTCAACTCATCAGGACAAATAAATCGCTGCCGAAATCAAGTTCATTATTGCGCCTCATTCCGTTCATCGATACCGATGAATTGCTTCATCTCCGAGGTCGCCTGCAACATTCTCAATTGGATCGAACAGAGAAACATCCGTTAATCTTACCGCGAAACGCTCGATTGACAGAACTCATCATCGATCATCATCATCGGAAAACACTTCATGGCGGAACGCAACTCACGCTCTCATCGATACGACGACAATTCTGGATTCTCGGCGGTCGCCTTCCGATACGCTCATTCATCCGACGATGTGTAGTCTGTACACACCAACGAGCGGCGACCGGTCAACAGCTCATGGGACAGCTACCGGCATCGCGTGTAACGCCATGTCGACCGTTCTATCATACGGGAGTCGATTATGCCGGCCCGTTAACGCTCAAGACGTTCCGTGGACGCGGAGCCAAGACATACAAAGGATACTTCATTATCTTCACGTGTTTCAGCACCTCGGCAATACACCTCGAAGTGGCAACAGATTATTCTACTGAGGGCTTCATTGCCGCATACAAACGCTTCACGAGTCGCAGAGGCCTCTGTTCTACCATTACGAGCGATTGCGGCACCAATTTCGTTGGAGCAGATGCGGAGTTACAACGGCTCTTCAAGGCCTCATCTCGAGAGTGGTCTCATATAGCCGCTCATCTCGCAAACGACGGTGTTGCGTGGAGATTTAATCCACCTTCCGCCCCGCACTTTGGCGGCAAGTGGGAAGCAGGAGTGAAATCGGTCAAGTTTCACCTCCGTCGCGTCATTGGTGAGACCTTGCTCACCTACGAAGAGCTGACCACGCTCTTGGCGCAAATCGAAGCGATCCTCAATTCTCGCCCTCTAACGACTCTCTCGGACGACCCATCGGACGTCTCCGCACTCACGCCCGGACATTTCCTCGTCGGCTCAGTTCTCAATGCCGTACCTGAACCGTCTCTTCACGATCTGCCAGTAAATAGGCTATCTCGATGGCAACTCCTACGTCAGATGATCGAGTCATTTTGGCAACGATGGGCTATCGAATATCTATCACAATTCCAAGTCTCTTCAAAGTGGCATCGGGCTCACAATCTGTTCCAGATCGGAGCTCTGGTTCTCGTGAAGGACGAACAACGACCTCCTACGAAGTGGCCGCTCGCACGCATCATCGACGTACACCCTGGGTCGGACGGACTCATCCGCGTCGCCACGGTGAAGACTGCTACCTCGACGTTCAAGAGACCGATTGTAAAACTGTGCTTGCTACCGAAAGTGACGAACGAGTCCAACCAACAGTGACTGTGTTCATAATTTAAATTTCCGCTCAATTTTATTTCATTACAGTTATTTTGACAACTAATATAGTTGCCAAGGCGGGCGGTATGTTTAGACTAAATTCAATAAAAACTCAGTGCACTAATGATTTTCCGATCCTTATATCATTTTCAAAAGCGTATAAATTATCATATAGTATTTTCCCCAATATATAAATCGTCATGTGATAATCTTTGTATTTATTGTCGAGTTATCTGTATATAGTTTCAACGCTTATCTCTGTCGACAGCGGTATGTTCAAAACACGCTTATCCTCGGTACCGACGCGGTCAGAATTCGAGACATTGTCTACCTATCAGCTGTTTACTTCGCGTCACATATATGTATACACATACGCAACCTTTCCTTTTTCTCGCGAAACGAAGGTTACCTTTCTATAACCGTGCCTATCTATCGCTTAACGACCAAGTTCAGTTGCTCTCGAATAAAGCTCAGAAGCACATGTCAACAATCTCGTTCTCAGTCTCTATTCATTGCAACACCTTCTGACTCCTCGTGATTTCGTGTACAATTCCGACTTCACCAGCGGACCTGGTTTCCAGTACCCATTTCCTCTCGCAATAAACACGACAGTAGGCAATATTTATTTTTGAATTGTTAATGATATTTATGAATTTTTCTGAGACATCTTTATGATATGGAACTATAAAATAATTATTTTTTATTCTTCTAGTTCCATTGTTAACTATATTATTTCTATTGTTATTACAATATTTTAAACTATTGATTCTATTATTGATAGAAGAAATCAAAAATTCCAAAGGGTATCCATTAATTATTAAAGTTCTGATTAATTCTATGATGTTTTTGGTATGAAATTTCGGATGCGACAATAAGATTATACGATCGATTAAAGAAATTATTACGCCTTTTTTGTGACACATTGGATGATTCGAAAAAAAATTTAGATATCTTCCAGAATTCGTGGGTTTTTTGTAAATATCAAAAAGGACTCTTTCCATTTTCCACACCAACCTTAACATCTAAGAAATTTATCCAACCATCAATGCTGCATTCCAATGTAAAGTTGATTCTTTCATTATAAGAGTTAAAGGTATCAAATACTCTCTCAATATCTTTCTTAGGGATTGCTAATAATATATCATCGACGTATCTTTGGTATATCGGAATGTCTACATTTATGGTTGAAAAAATTTTCGTTTCTAAATCCTCCATAACAATACCAGCCAAAATCGGAGACAATGGGGAGCCCATTGGCATTCCAAAAATTTGTTTATAAAAATTGTTATTAAATTTAAAGTAAGTAGAATTAATAATAAGGTTCAGAGCCTTTTTAAATTCTTCCAAGGAAATAGAAGTATTTTTTGTGATGGTGTTCCATCTTCTATCTAATCTATACTTTGCATTATTAATTCGGTTGGAATGTTTGTGTACATAGCTACTACGTCAAACAAAACTAGATCGTAATTAGAATCAAATTTTTTGCCATTTAATTTTTCAACTAAATCAAAACTATTTTTAGTGTAACCTAAATTTGTGTTTGTAATGCTTTTCTCAATAATTTCTTTTAAAAAATTAGAAACCGGATACATAGGACTATTAATGCAACTTACAATAATTCTAAGCGGGAAGCCTGTTTTATGAATTTTAGTAAGCTCATAAGATCTAGGCAATACACCATCTGTTACTAAAAGTCTTCTATACGTAGGCTGATCTATAAAACCTTTTTCTCTGAATCTTATTAGTATTTCTCTTGTACAATTAGTCATTCGTTTTAACGGATCTTTATTAATTAGAATATAAGTACTAGTGTCTGAGAGCATTCAGTTCATTTTTTCATAATATTCTTTTAAATCTAAAATAACAGTTGTATTTCCTTTACCAGCTCTAGTAATCAAAAGTTCAGGGTGCTCTTTTGTAAAGGCTCTAGCAGGTTAAGAAGGGGTCAATCGGCCCCCAAACGGATTATGACCAGTATGTCACCAAAAAGTTCGTTGACCCGAAAAAAAAATTTGGAGAAATTTTTAATTCCGTACACCACCCCTTTTCGGAGATATTGCCTTATGAAGTATTTTCATATTTTATTTTTGTCACGAGACCTATCAGATACAATTTTATTTAAAAAATTTGGGCATACAAAACGTATCAAAAGGTATTTGAAAATATTTTTTGCGAGATGTTCCAACCTAACCATAATTTTTAAAAAATTCCTGAATATTTATAAGTGACCCCCTTTTGTTAGTTTATGATTGGCCACCTCGCAAAAATTCAAAAACATGTATTTTTAAACTTATTTTCACCCTGAATTTTTTCAGAATTTTTTGAACCCGGCATCATGCCTAAAAAAATTAAAACTCGCCTAAAAAGGCAAAAAATCGCCATAAAATATATATCAAGTAGCCATAAAGCCCTAAAAGGCTCATAAGATAGCGTGCAGAATTCGCCATTAGTTTCGTTTAGTTTAGATATTTAGCGAAAATTATCAAGCCTGCTGAATTATTATCCAAATTATTCGATGCCCAGAAAATTGCACCGGTCATCAATGAGGATAGCGACGACGATTAATAATATATACATGAACATATATAAATATATTATGTTGATCAAAATAAAGAAATTCCAAAAAGCATTTATAACCTTTAAATATTTCAAAATAGTTCCAATATGAAAAAAAGCATATGGCTAAAATTTTCAGAAAAAAATTCGGTTATGGGATGAAATTGTCGTACGATATTTTTTCTGCCTTAAAAATTGATATTCATCAGTCATCCTCCGATACTCGTAAAAAATACTTATTACTGATGTATTCTAGTGTCTTAAGATTGCAGAACTATTCTAACCACACTTCAATGCCGTCTGAGAGTTTTGCGACTCTCTCAAGACCATTTTATGGCATTTTGAGTATTTTAAGAATGCCCCAAGGATATTTTGTAAATGTTTTAGAGTTTTAAGACTGCTTTAATGCTGAATAGTAATGTTAATCGAATTTTAGGGCTGTCTCA